GGAATTAAAAAAGCAGATCGGTACCCTGTGGTGCCGTTCACGACGAGGCGTTAGGTCGCAAAGGAGCGAAAAGAAAGCGTGGTGAAGCGTCGGTAAGGCGAGCAGACCGAACACGGCCGCGTACTTTCTCGGGACGCACGCTTGCAATTATGTATATATGGTAATGCGGTAGGAGAGTGTCGAAAATCGGCCGATCGCGCGACACCATAAAAGTAACCGGGATCGAAGGAAGGATACGGGAGACGAGAGAGCACTCGCTGAGGAACAAAGAGAAGCAGACTCGTGGTTCGATTCCAGCCGACTACGACCGCGTGTGTGGGTATATTGCTCTTTCGGCGTGGGTTTCGAAATACACGACCGGTCATTGTCCATCGATTGATACCGGGCTGCTGCTTCCTTCGACCTCGTCCATCTCGTCCTGTCTTCCTCGACCTTCTTTTCCTCCTGCTCCGTACACTCTCCTACTCGCTTAACAGTAAATCCACCACCACTTAAATCACAATTTTCACAATTTTTATCAAAAATTCTTTCCTCGAATTTTCTTCCGATATTCGTTGAATTAATTTTACCAATTTTTCCCCTTCACAATTTTTGTTTCCCTTTTTCTTTTTATTCGGATCTATTTTTGTTCTTTCTTCGTCTACCTGTTATTTGACCTGTCATGATAGGTTAGTAATACATTTAGTAATGTGATTAATCCGAGGTAAAAATCAACTCCCTCGCAAGAGTTGTCTGATCACGTATGCTATGTTCAAGTTTCTTTTATTCCCGATTATAATAATTTCTTGAAATCCGGTAAATTAATTCTCTCCATACACTAATACACGCGTTTCAGAAAGTTGAATGTAGTCAAAAATCAACCCCCTAGGGATTCATCGTGCACCTCAGAAATACGATTATATGGCTACATATGTTATAGTCAATGTTCTTCTTAATCCGGTTTTAATTATCTCATGATCTTCGATTTTAATTATCTCCTTATAGTAATATACGTAATTCAGAAATTTCAAAATAGTCAAAAATCAACCCCCTTGCTAGGTTTATCGTGCACCACAGAAATACGATTATATGGCTACATATGCTATAGTCAATGTTCTTTTTAATCAGATTTTAATTATCTCGTGGTCTTCGATTTTAATTATCTCCTTATAGTATTACACGCATTTCAGAAATTTCAAAATAGTCAAAAATCAACCCCCTCGATGGGTTTATCGTGCACCACAGAAATACGATTATATGGCTACATATGTTATAGTCAATGTTCTTCTTAATCCGGTTTTAATTATCTCATGATCTTCGATTTTAATTATCTCCTTATAGTAATATACGTAATTCAGAAATTTCAAAATAGTCAAAAATCGACCCCCTTGCTAGGTTTATCGTGCACCACAGAAATATGATTATTTGGTTACATATGCTATAGTCAATGTTCTTCTTAATCAGATTTTAATTATCTTATGATCTTCGATTTTAATTATCTCCTTATAGTAATAAACGCGTCCCAAAAAGTTCAAAGTAGTCAAAAATCAACCCCCTCGCGAGGTTTATCGTGCACCATAGCATTACGATTTATACGATTATATATGCTATAGTTAATGTTCTTTTTAATCCCATTTTAATTATCTTGCTATATTCGATTTTAATTATTTCCATACAGTAATACACGCATTCCAGAAAGTTCAGAGTAATCAAAAATCAACCCCCTCGCAAGGTTCATCGTGCACCATAGAAATGCGATTTACACGGTTATATATACTATAGTCGACGTTCTTTTTAATCCCATTTTAATTATCTCGTGATCTTTGATTTTAATTATCTCCTTATAGTAATATACGCGTTTCAGAAATTTCAAAATAGTCAGAAATCAACCCCCTCGCATGGTTCATCGTGCACCATAGAAATGCGATTTACACGGTTATATATGCTATAGTCGACGTTCTTTTTAATCCCATTTTAATTATCTCGTGATCTTTGATTTTAATTATCTCCTTATAGTAATATACGCGTTTCAGAAATTTCAAAATAGTCAGAAATCAACCCCCTCGCATGGTTCATCGTGCACCATAGAAATGCGACTTACACGGTTATATATACTATAATCACTGTTCCTTTTAATCCCATTTTAATTACCTCGCGATACTCGATTTTAATTATCTCCATACAGTAATTCACGTATCTAAGAAATTTCAAAATAGTCAAAAATCAACCCCCTCGCATGGTTCATCGTGCACCATAGAAATGCGATTTACACGGTTATATATACTATAGTCACTGTTCCTTTTAATCCCATTTTAATTATCTCGCGATACTCGATTTTAATTATCTTCATACAGTAATTCGCGTTTCTGAGAAATTTCTAAATAATCAAAGACCAACCCCCTCGCAGGATTCGTCGTGCACCACAGAAATGCGATTTATACGGCTACATATGCTATAGTCAATGCTCTTTTTAATCCCATTTTAATTATCTCCATACAGTAATTCGCGTGTCTGAGAAATTTGCAAACGATGAAGAAACAATTCGCTCGCGAGATTCCTCCGCCATTCGTAGTCTCTTTGACGGTATCGTGCGAAATGGAAAACTCGCATTACCAGTCGCCAACGCGTAAATCCTCGTGCTCCCTGGGAAACACCCGATACCCTCTGTAGACGCTGCCCCGATAAAAGTTTCATTAATAGTAGCATCCTCGGCGCAGCTGTATCCGCGTTCGTCTGGCATGGAGCGTTCGAATGGTGGACGGAGGCAGAGCGGTTAATTAGCCGTAATTATAGGTGATTCTTTGGAAAGGATAAGCTGCAATCTGTGCGTGTCCCCAAGCAAACTCGCGTCCGGGTTTATCGCCCACTTGGCGCTCTTGCAGCTGCAGGTGTGTTACGGCAATAACGCGATTCTAAACGACATGCTCGAGCTTTCTTGCCTCTGCGCGCCGTTCTACAGGGTGCTCTCGAATCCCGGCTACCCGGCGCCGTTTCGCTTCACCAGAACCCTCTTATCCTCCGATTCCACGTCGAGTTCCTCCGCGACACCCTGGATAGGTCTCTCGCTCGCGATCATGGTTTTTCCAGCCGGGATCACGCGACGTCGCTTAGCAGGACGAGAAGCGGTGGAAAAACTTGGGGATCACTGCGTGTACGTCGGCCCACAGGGTCCAGCAGCCTACGTATCCGCGTATCTGCCTACTCGGTCCACCGATCCTCGCCGGTATTCACGGCGAAAAGGTACCTACGTCCGAGTCGGCCCTGACGACGCGCAATGCTCAGGTACTCGGTTTTCTCTCGACTTCCGGTCGCAGAAAGGAATGCATAGGCGGAGCTATACCCACGCAAGGAGACACGCCGATCGAGGATGGAAAAAAGACACGGCGACAACGCCGGTACAAGCTGCGAAACAGACTGCGCGTGCGCAGTCTGGGCCAGACACGCGTGGAAAATTCGATTTTTCAACCCGTGTCATCCGATCCGATCTAGGTAGATCTTGGTATATGAGCTTGGTGATCTTCGAAACACGGGCAAGGTGGAGAGTTCGGTTTTATGTATCTTTTAGGTTAGGTTGCAATTCGCCGAGTGAAATCGTACGTTCATTGCAACATGTAGGCAAGTAATCGTACAGAGTTTTATGGTCAATGTAGATGTATAGTGTTTAATACTGGTGAAATATATGTATATACTTATGCAAATATGAAGAGAGGAAAGAATAAACGTGTTCTTCGAGTTACAATAATTAACCCTTTGCACTCGAGAGGTGAGCTTTAGTCACCATTTCATAAAATTTGGAAAATCGATATTAATTCATGTATCAAATTTAATGCAATGTAACAGTGTGCGAAGTATCGAAGTCAAATAATTCTACAATTTTATTATTGTACAATTCTTTATTTACTGCTGAAAAAAGTATTGTCAGCTTTTTAGTAGAGTATTTTTGATTTTCTACTCTTCTCTAACCAAAAAATCGTCGAGTGCAGAGGATTAAATACGTTTTGTGATGCTATGGCTTCGGAACTGAACTGTTCTTGAAAGCAGCAGGACCCCTTTGAACCCAAAAACCAAGCACACGACCCCTTGATGCCTACATAGTGCCAAAAGTCGCTATTGACCTGCAATGCCTAGCAGGTCTGACGCCATTGCTATGATTTATTACAATTTATCATAATTTTTAGGTCGTTGTGTGCAGTTAGAAGGTGGGTGACACAGATTAGGTTAGGTACCCTGTATTATTTTTATTAAATGAAGGATCGGACGTATCGTGAATTAATTAGATATATTTGGTGTGGTTTGTGTCAAATTTAGGTTAGGTATCCCATCGTCTGTATGATATACGAATAGAGATGACGAGCAGGGTCCTCAAATGGATAGATTGGATTAGTTTTGCGTTGAGGTTAGGTTAGATATGACGTATTTTATATGATATATGGAAATGGATGACGTATAGTATTCTCCAATAGACATATTAGGCTAGGCACTGTGTATTTCTTTATTAGATGTAGATTTGATTTATGATGAGATTTGTATTAAATTTAGGTTAGGTACCGCGTCATTTTTATGATGTACGAATATGGCTGACGTGCAGCATGCTCAAATAAATAGATTGGATTAGGTTTGCGTTAAGTTTACATTATATATAACTTTACATAATATATAAAAATGAAAGACGTACAGTATTCTCGAATGGACAGATTAGGTTAGGTACAACATACTTTTTATTATATATAGAAATGGATATATTTTATCTTCTCGAGTGTCTAAACTGATTTATTTTCAAATTTTGACTAAGTTCCATATATTCTGTATAATATCTGCAAATGGATAAATTATCAGTTTCAAAATGGCTGACGCACAGTATTCTTGAGATTGGGATAGTTTTGGGTTGGATATCAGATATTTTATATGACACGCGAAGGTGGATGACGGTACAGCGTTCTCCAGTGGATAGTTCTGATGCTTACGATCTTTTTAATCGAAAATTGGCCGCAGGTAGAATTTGATATCGTTTTGATTTGCAGTTCGTGGATTTGGGCGTGGTTTCGAGTATAGAATATAATCACAAGCCTGTGGACTCGGCGCGGAAAGGTCAGGAAGTTTGCGTGAAGATCGATCCGATACCTGGAGAGGCACCGAAGATGTTCGGCCGTCATTTCGACGAGAAAGACTTCGTTGTGAGCAAGGTAAGAGTTTTGATAGCTAATTTGTACGTATGAGCTGGTTAAACGACGTTGAATTAGCGGTTCGTGCGATGCTATCGCGAATATCCGGAATAATTGCTCCGTTTAACTCTTGACCCTTTAGAATGCAGAATTTAACGCCTCTCGTCACGATTTCATCGCGAAAAATTATGCATCGGGAAGGTATCTCGTTCTAATTAACTATTGTATAGAAACTCTTACGAAAAATATTTTATTCCACAATTTTTGGAATTTATATAAATTCTGTGCACATTAAAACGTGCCGAGTATAGTTTCAATCTCATAAGTGGTGTCAATCGTTGCACCAGGGATTAAGAAAGGAAAAGACACTAATTGCGCGAAAATTTTAATTAAAATTAAATCCCGAGGAAATTAATTATAGATGAGACGAAAGATATCCCATTGTTTATATAAAAACTTCGCAAAATGAAAAATAGAAATTCGAAATTTGGAAAGCTAAATATTGTCCAAGTGCTTAACGTAAAAATTGAATACTGTCAAATTGACAGGGCACTTTATCATCCTATTCTCCCCAAAAATAAATGACTCTTCAATTCTAAGAAATTTGTTATCAAACCTCCATTACTGACATACTGAAACTACTGTCAAATTTCTAAATTTTGCCACACGTGAATTTTATTTCAAAAAACACAGTCTAAACAATTATTCTTCAACACTGTCAAAAAACAAATCAATTTACTCGCACACTCCGTTATAAAAGCAATGAAAGAATTATATCTTTGACAAGTTTGAGAAATCAAGAAGGACCAAACTTACCATGACCGTGAATTTTATGTCACCCCCGTTAGAAAACAGAATTTAAACAATTATTCCTAAACACTGTCAAAGAGCAAATCAATTTACTCACACGCTTCGTTACAAAAGCAGTGAAGAAATTATATCTTCGACAGCTTTGAAAGCTCAGGAAGGACCAAACCTAACGTGGTCATGAATTTTATTTATGTCACCCTCGTTAGAAACAGTCTAAACAATTATTCCTAAACACTGTCAAAAAGCAAATCACTTTATTTGTACACTCTGTTACAAAAGCATTGAAAGAATTATATCTTCGACAGCTTTGAAGGATCAGGAAGGACCAAACCTAGCGTGACCATGAATTTTATGTCACCCTCGTTAAAAATCACAATCTAAACAATTATTCCTAAACTCTGTCAAAAAGCAAATCAATTTACTCGCACACTCCGTTATAAAAGCAGTGAAAGAATTATATCTTTGACAAGTTTGAGAAATCAAGAAGGACCAAACTTACCATGACCGTGAATTTTATGTCACCCCCGTTAG